CCATTTCATTTCATTTCATTTCATTTCATTTTTAAAAAGATTTTATTCGTTTATTCAGGAGAGACACAGAGAAGCAGAGACATAGGCAGAAGGAGAAGCAGGCTTCCTGCAGGGAGCCTGATGTGGGTCTCAATCACTGCACTCTGGGATCATGCCCTGAGCTGAAGGCAGATGCTCAACCACTGAGCCACCCAGGCATCCCGGCCTTCTCATTTTTTTTCCTGCGTGTTTAAAGTCCTGTGCATGCACATAGCAGGAAAAAGTAGATTTTTGCCAAGGCCCACTTTAGTTGTCTTATTCCTAATTCTCCCTGTTAAATTTCTGGTTGGTTTCCTGATCTGTTGCTTGCCCTAACTAGTATAGCAGATTCAGGCTACTTGTGATAATTGGCCTTCCTAATTTTTTTGTTCCTTGGAATCATTGTTTCTGAAAATGCCCCTGGACCTGGAATTCTTTTTGCTCTGCTCCAAAGAAATTTAGCTCTTCTGGCTAAATGGAGCTGCCAATCTTCATAGCTTGCTCTGTCCTGGTGGGATTTCCATACCAAGAGTTTGGGACTGTGGGATGGTGGGAACTCTAGGTTAAACCACCACACACTTCTGTTGTTCTTTACAAGAGTTAGTAGATTTTCTGGAATAAACACTTCTCAATGTTTTATATTTCTTTGGTCAATATCCAGATCCTTAAATAATTGATTTTGATAATTTTTATCGAGTTTTATTGTTATTTTTTTTCTAGGGGATAGCATTTTTCAAATTCCTTATTTAACCTGGATATTCCTTATACATTCTGGCCATCATTTCCCCTGCCTTTTCTCTCTCACGTGTGTGTGCGTGTGTGTGTGTATATACTTTTTTATTTTTATTTTTTATTTTTTTAGAGAGCACGTGTGTGCGTGCGTGTGTGGCAGAGGGGAAAGCGGAGAGAGAGAGAGAATCTTAAAGAGACTCCATGCCCAGTGCAGAGCCTGACACAGGGTTCAATTTCACCACCCTGAGATCATAACCTGAGCCGAAATCAAGAGTTGGATGCTTAACCAACTGAGCCACCCAGGCACCTTTCTGTCTCCCTCATTTTTAAACATTTAAATTTTATTCAAACAATTTTATTTTAGAATGTGTTATAAAGTAGCACTGTATTGACAATTTGGTTAAATAGTGTCTTAGTACAACTTGTTGACTATTTCATGTTTCCCAATTATTTGTGGTGTAAATTGTTTATTTCTCTAACTTTAGTGAGGTTTATTTTAAATTTATTCTCTTTTTTTTAAAAAATTTATTCCATCAATAGTGTTTTCTTTCATTTGTTCTTACCAGGTCTTGCTTTCTATCGGCTACATCTTAGCTTCTGAAAAGGCTCAACCTTTTCTCTCTTTATACTCTTTAATTTTATCGCCTTGGGTTTCCTTTACTACCAAGGTTCATAAATTTTATCTGCTCTTGTTTCTCATCAGGGCTGAGATACGGGGTAAGGCAAGTGAGATGCCTAGGGCACTAACATTTCAGGAGTCTCTCTTGAAGTCCTCTAAGTGCAGGGTGCAGGGTTAGTACTTGCATGATTTTGCTTTTATGAATTTTGCATCCTTGGTGCCTGGCTTCCCTCACCTTAGTCCTGGCCCTGCTACTTAATTTCTCATTAGTGGATATTTGTTGTAAGGTGGTTTCTGTTCCAAATAGGTTTCATTCTTTCAAAATTTTGAGTATCTGCTCTGTACTATGCATTGTGTTAGGTTTGGGGACTATAAAGGCTCTTAAGACACTACTTCTTTCACCCAGATTATTTCTTCAGATTTTCTCCTTCTCGAGTCTAGATGCCTCTCCCTGCATTCCACTTCATTCCTGCTTTTTTTTGTACCATGTGTCACTATTGACCATTACTGCCTGTTCATCCTAACCCCAGCCCAACTCTTCAGAATGTACAGCTATTTCCATGATAAGACACCCTCTCGAGGAACCAGTGGGCATTTGGGCAGTAGATCAGTGTACCCCATTCTGAAAACTGGTAAGAATTAGAAATTGACTTGTCCTTTCAGTGTGTTAAGGTAGGGGTGCCCAGGATTTCTCTTGGGTTAATAGATCTTTAGACATGTTGCTGGGAAGGTTGTTTGTTCATTCATCTGCTTAGTATATTCTGTTTGGAATCTTTCCTTCTCCTTCCAGTACTTTGATACCCAAAGGCAAGCTTTGATTCTCTGCCCAGCTATCTGGTTTACTCCTGCCAATTTTGTTTCCTGAGTCCTGTGTTCTTTTCCTGTTCTTTGCTGACTTGTTTTTAGTGTAATTTCCCTGAATGATCCTGCTCTTCTTGGTGTTTTCACCGTTTATTCATGAAAATAAACTCATCTACTCATTTAAGGAGTGAATAGTGAACCTATATTCTATCCTGGGTACTATAGGAATCACTGGGGTTACAACAGTGAAACCAACCAAACATTCCTTATCCTCCTGAGCTAGAGAGACAAGTTAGGGATAAATCATACCAACATAAATCATACCGAACACCAAGGGTGTTTGCTGTGAAGGAAAGTTGCAGGTGGAGCTGATCTTGGGACATTTGAGTTGAAATCTCTGTCTTCATTCAGTAAATCCCCGTAATTTTGAACTCTTGCCTGCATCAGGACTTATTTTCAATTATGACTTTTTAAATACTGTCTTTTTCCTGCTTGCAGCTTGACTCAATGCTTCACCTTGCTCAAGGCTGCCATGAGTTGAATTCTTACTTAGTAGTGGTTGTCAACTGTGATCATTAACTTATTCTCCTTTGGAAGTTATTTTCTCCCAGGTTTTCTTAACATTTGACCTGTTGGTTCTTTCGTACATCTTTGTTAGTTTTTGTGTTCTATGTCCTACTTCTTTGCATTTCCTAAAATTTGTCCTAACCCAGATTTTGTCCTGGGCCTCTTCTGTATCAACTTACCCTTTCTTGGCAATCTTGTCCTTTCTAGAGAATTTTGGTTGCCATTTTTAAGTGAATGGCTGGCCAGTTTATCTAAGTTATGCTCTAGTTTCCAACTATTTGGGATAGAGGTATACATACAGGCGCATATTTCCGTGTGCACAGGTTCATGTAGAGGGAGGGAACAGTCTAAGTAGAATTCATTATCTTCTCTAACTCAGTGACTTTATAATCTCCCAATCTCCTTGCTCAAAATCTTGAACATTTGCTCCCTCCTTGCTTTTGAGACCCCGGATCTGCCTGGTTGCCATGTGGTGTGAGTTTGTCCTGCAATCCCACCACATCATGGGTTTCTTTTTTTCAGTGTGTGCTCACTCAGCTCTACTTCAGGCCTTCCTTTTTTTCTCCCTGGTCTGTTCTGGTTCTTTCCTGAGGTGCAGCTGCCGCTGTCTTTCTCAATTCCAGAGGACTCTGAATCCTGTGCCAGCTTTATTTTTCCTGAATTGTGATTCTGATCTGTTGTTCTTCTCTTCTGCTCATTCATGCTTCAGACATTCCCTACTGCCTTTGAGAAACGGGCTGGTTTTCTAGACCTTCCAACTTGTTTTATTTTCCCTGCCACTTCCCTTCATACAGGCTGGACTCTCTCCAAATGGAATTAATGTTTTAAGAATCTGCCTGTGTTTTTCTGTTTGTATCTCTATTTTTGATTCCTTGTGCCAGTAGTGTGCTTGTCTCACATTCTGAGTTCTTCCTTCACATTTTTCCTGAAGCTCTCTCAGGTTTCCTGACCCAGAGATACTTTTTCTTCCATCATGAGTACATTTACTCATACTTAAAAAATATATAGTGCTTATCATTTCCCAACTTGTATTGTTATTTCAGTATGATTTTGTAAGTCTCATCAGCTCTTATATTGTTCATTGAGCCTAGTATAGTACATTGTCCAAGTGTTTGTTGCATTAATAAGTGGCTGGATGCCTTCTGAATTAAACCAGCAGACAGTCTGGCCTCCTCTGTGTGCCCTTCCCATTACCTTGTTTATCTAAGACCATCTGTTTCTCTCCCTTCTTGCTTTTTTTTTTTTTTTTAAACTTTATCCCTGAATCTCTTCATGTATTGCTAAGTGGCCCATTACCCTTTGTCATTGTAGCTTCTCTTTTCCTGAGTTAGTATTAATTTCACTTTAAAGAAAAATGATGTCATTTCAGTGAAGGATGTGTGTGGGAAATTTACAGAAAATGGAAGCTAGTATTGAGAATGACATCTTGATCCATTTTATGGGAAAGAAGCCTGCCCACCAGGATTTTGGAAATTTGCAAGTATAGGCTTGAATCTCTGGGCTGGTGGCCAGCTAAGAGTAGAAAGTAGAAGTTGTAATATGTGTTCAGTATCTAGGTGGAAGGCCAGGGGCCAGCTCCAGGGCCCTGGATTCCAGTCTCCTGATCTAGGCAGCTGCCTTATGTTTCTTGGAAGCAGCTGCCTGAGCTTTTGGACAGATGATTGGTTTAAAGTGATGTCATGTAACAGTAGGGAAATAGATATCTAACTGCCATGTTGCCATTTTTTTGAAAGCTAGTGAAACACCTTGGGTTCCCTGCATGGTTTTGGATATCTGGTTGTGGCAGTAAGTTGGGTTTTGTTGATGAATTCCAAAGGAATTGATTTATTTGGTTTCATAGTTGAATGTCATTTGTCTGATATGAAACTTAATAGCTGTACCTTTTGAGTGCTAGTTTAGTGCCTGTTTCATTATAGTCTTGAGATTCCAGATTTTTATACCTTTTTTCAAAATTATATTCTCTCTCATGCTTACCCATTTCAGAAACTGAACGGAACTGCAGCACTCTTTCAGTCCCCACCTCATTGCCATTTGTGGAGGTTTTTCGTTGAAGTGGCCCAAACAAGCAGGCTAGCAATACCTTGAAAAGAAACTCAGGACAGATGGTGTGCTTGTCTAACTGCCTAGGAGAAAGTGACACTGGGACCCAGGAGGCCCCCCTCCCCCACATGTAGTTTCTGTCACTCACATACTACATTTCTAAGAGCACAGAGGAGGCCATAGGTTAACTGCTAGTCAGTCACCTATTTCTCTTTGGTTTCAGATAGTGACAACCAAGCGACTCAAGGCAGGAAGAAGTCTGAGCTGAGCAGTAGAGGACCCCCTGGATCTGGAGAGAAGAGGCAACCTTGGAACCAGTAATGAGCCATCCTGACTGCAGGCTGAACCTCCGGCCCCTGGGGACCCCCAGAGGTAGCAAAAGGAAAATGGAGTCTATTCTAGCAACTGGAGACCTGAATAAAATAACTGGAATGGAAGCGCAGGGCAGGTCTTAGGACTGAGGGGCACTTTAATTCTTTTGGTGACCTGTTAAATATTCTTCCATATTATTTATTCTAAAATTAAGTGTGGTTTCTTATTGTCTTATTGTTATATTGAGTACAGTTGTTTAGTCTCCTCCAGAAAAGAGACAATCTTTAATTCTTATTTTATAAAGTTTGTGTCTATAAACAGCAAAGCACATAGAACCCATTATTCAAATTATGTTCCATGCATGTTGTGGTGCTGATTTAAAACTTAAGTCTCATCTGCGTACCTTTTATTCATGTTTCCTTACCCATTCTTTCTTTTTTGTGACTATTTAAAGTCATTATCAGAGCATTTCATTCTTTTATTGGTCTTTCTACATAGATAAAGGTAAAATATCTCCAGTTTAAAAATACAGAGATTTTTTTTGAGGAAAGAGTTGATTGCTGCCTCCTGTTCCTAGGTGTGTCCTCTGTAGCTGGCCCACATGGTGTTGGTGCTTCGCCAGGTGACAAAAAGTCGAAGAACAAGTCTGCGCGAGGGAAGAAAAAGAGCGTATTTGAAACCTACATGTCCAAGGAGGATGTCTCAGAAGGCTTGAAGAGAGGAACACTCATCCAGGTGCTTAAAACATACTAGGCATCTATTCCTTGACTATGTGGAATCAGAAATAATCTATTGCTCATTAAATTGCTTATTGCTCTGCATTGTATACTCGAGGGAAATGGTGAGTGAACAGGCACAGGGCTTCCTACTTCTGACACCTACAGTGCAGTGTGGAAAGCACCACAGACAGACAGACAAAGCGCTCTGAGATTTGAGTGGATGGAGCCATTACTTCCAATTAGGGTTGTCTAGGAATGTTTTATTGGAAGGGATATATTTGGTCATGAGTTGGCCCAGTTGGAACAAATGAAGATAAGAGAAAGCACTTTATGGACAGAGAAACCAGTGTGTGCTACTAAGACAGAAGTGGGAAATAGGATTTGGTTGTAAGGAACATTGATAGTTCAGTTGGTCTAGAGCACTTGGATACTAAATGATGGAGATTAGAGTTGAACAGGAAATACTAAACAGCAGACAATATTTATCGAGTGCTTTATAGTTTACAAAATACTTTTACAAACTAGGTCAATGGTTTGGCTCAGCAGATGTTTGTTGAGCATCCACTGTGAGCTGGGAACAGTTCATACTGAGGAGTGTGCTGCCTGGGTGCTCTTGAAATGAAGGCAAGTGAAACTGGCTTTCTGTTCTTTGAACTCCCAGCCCAGTTTAGGCAGGCAGTCATATGAATAGATGCTTTGGGGATAAATGGTAAGTTCTCAAATAAAAGTGTTACTGAGGTATATGGGAGCATGTTGGGGGGAATTGGGAGACTGGAGGAGGTGACCTCTTGGTGCATATTGAAGGAAGGCTAGTTGGGGCCTAGTACATGAGTGATAACATGTGTGAGGAGGTATGGAGAGGTAGTGGCACCAATGAAAACATGTCTTGAAAAACAGTGTGGAGTAAGGCAGCATAGATCTCCTTAGGCATGAAACATGAGGCAGGAAGTAGGTAAGGAGACAGAGAGTGAGGCAGGGGCACATATTCTTTGAATTAAGTCTATTTTATAATTATTGGATTGGTATATAGAGGCATTGCCGTGTGTTACCTGGCTCCCTTGAAAATGTTGGTTGTGTTCCATTCTGAATACATTCTTTCATTTCTCTCATTTTGAGAGCCCAGCTCCTATATTTGTGGTTTTGGGTAAAGATCCAGCCAGTGAACAGATACTGTCCACTTTTCCTTTTCCTCCTCTTCCTCCTCCTTCTTTTTTTTTTTTTTTTTAAGATTTTATTTATTTATTCATGAGAGATACCGAGAGAGAAGCAGAGACATAGGCAGAGGGAGAAGCAGGCTCCCTCTGGGGAGCCTGATACGGGACTAGATCCCAGGACCCTGGGATCATGACCTGAGCCAAAGGCAGATGCTCAACCACTGAGCCACCCAGGTATCCCTCTTCTTTTCCTTCTTAACCCCTTTTCTGTATTTACCTGTGGTCAAGAACACATCTGATTAATGTAGCCTCTTTTTTTTGGCCCCCTTCATCCTTCCCCTGCCCTTACCCTGTATCCCTGCCACCTCTGCCAACCACCAGTATGTATCTCTGAGCTTGTGTGGTTTTTTCTTTTTTTTTTAAGATTCCACATATAAGGGACCCAACAGTATTTGTCTTTCTCTGTTTGACCTGTTTCATTTAGAATGAATGTCTTTGAGATCCATCCAGTGGTTACAAATGGCAAATGGCAAGATATCATCCTTTTTTTTTCTTTTTTATCATGGAGTAATATTCCATTGTGTGTGTATGTATGTATACTCTACAATTTCTTTATTCCTCCATCACTGGACATTTAGGTTGTTTTCATAATTTGTCTATTATAAATAATGCTGCAGTGAACATGGGTTGCACATATCTTTTTGTATTAGTGTTTTTTTTTTTTTTAAGATTTATTTATTCATTCATTCAGAGAGAGCGAAGAGAGAGGCAGAGACATAGGTGGAGGGAGAAGCAGGCTCCATGCAGGAAGCCCGATGTGGGACTCGATCCCGGGTCTCCAGGATCACACCCCAGGCTGCAGGCGGCTCTAAACCGCTGCGCCACCGGGGCTGCCCTGTGTTAGTGTTTTTATTGACTCTTGAATGGAAAATTTTTTAACAAACGAGTTGATCTTTCTGATTTTAGAGGTACTATTGGCCTTTTTATTTATTTATTTATTTTTAAATTTTTCTTCAAAAATTTATTTTCCTTTTTATTTATTTATTATTATTTTTTTACTTACCTTGGATTTCTTTGATGAGCCCTCTCTTAGGAGACTTGAAGCTGAATTTGGACATTTGTCCCCTCATTAATCCATTCATTTGCTGTTTATCGTTCAATCTACATACTGAGCTCCCATTTTATCTACAAATTTCTTGGCCCTCATCTTGTTTCATGTTTGAGGACCACTTGTGCCTTTCCCATTTTCATCTCCTGCCACTCTTCTTCAGGTACATGCTGCTCTATCCATCCTAATCTTTAAGACTTCTGTAAAAACTCTGCTCTTTGATTTTTCTATGACTTTGTACACACTGTTCCTAGTGTTTGGAATGCTTTCTCTCATTATCTTGATGTAATTGTGCTTGAACTTTCAGTCCCTACCTAAATGTTACCCCCTTTGAGAAGCCTTATTTTAATTCTCCCAGCAGAATTGGCCATGACTACTTTCTGGGAGCTGACTTTGTTGTTTACCCTTCATTCTAAACTTATTACCATTTCTTGGTATTTATGTTTCCTCAAATAGACCCTTCACTTTCTTGTGGGTAGGATTGTATCTTATTCCCACAAATAGCCCAGTATGTGGAATTTGATGGATGCATAATCAGTTTATATTGAATAAATATTTATTTACCGAGTGAATAAAGGATCAAGGTACTGTCTTTTGAAGAGGGGTGAGGGAAACTCTTTTATGACTTGGAAGAAAAATTGCTTATAATTTTAATTATAGAATTTATAGAGATAAGAGGAGGAAAATATCCTGGAATGATAAAGCTTTTGCTCCTTTCTATTAATTTTTGCTTTTGAAGCAACTCTTTGCTGATATTAAAAAACAAAAAGCTGATCAATATAACAACTTTCTTTCCCAGGAGTTTGTAAGTGATTCCTCCTGGCTTGTGACATCATGAGACTCTGCAGCCAGAGCCTCCCCCCACAGATGAGAACAGTTGTTCTTTGCAGATGGGGAGAGGAATGGGTTCCAGATATGAGGTCACCGTGTGAAATATACAACACTGTAAATAAGATTTTCATAGACAGGGAAACAGAGTCCATCTGCTTTCTGCTTTCTGATATGAACTTTATGTGTGCAGGCCTTGATGGATAAGATAAAAAGCTAGACAAGAAAAGCTATTTAAATGCTGTTGGAAAAAAAAAATTAAAAAAAAATAAATGCTGTTGGAGAAAATTAAACTTATTAGATATACTTGTAAGTATTTGTTAACTTTTACATTCAAATTTAAGTATATCGTGACATCTCTTTTTTCTCCCTATCCAGAGAAGAAACTTTTATTGAGAGATATTAAGATATTAAGGAGATGTTTTAAAAATTGGAGTAGAATAATACTTTTTATTATTTATTTATTATTTATTTTGTTTTCAATACTTTGAACAATAATTTGACATTTCATTGGTGTTTTGCCCTATATGGGCATGAGGAGTCCACAGTGACCAAAGGAATCTCTTTCCTGACAGCAGTAACACAAGATCATGTACACATAATTTTGAAAAAAAATTTTCTTGTAGACAAGCTCTCATGTCATACATACATCCTTTCTCCATAGGTACGGTATAGGAGATTGTTATAGAAGGTGTGGGAAAAAATGAAAGTATGGAATAAACAGGCCTGGAGGGGACTCTGGTTTGAGGTGATGACCAGAATGACATAGGTATGATGGTAGAATTGGCTGGTTTCCTCATCTCAGATGATGCTTTGACTGAAAATGCCCCAGAGCAGCTTGAGGCATGATGTCAGAGTTCCCCCTAAAACAGAATACTGGTGTAAAGTTGTTATTGGACCTTACAAGAATTCCTAGTCTAAGGAAGACAAGACAGGATGTGGGTTAGTTTCTCAGACCTTCACCCTTTGTTGAGAGTGAAATCAACTGGGGAACATTTGCATATGAATTAGAAGAATAGAGGTGACATTATAGTGGACTGCCCAGCCATTTAGAAGCACAGATGGAAAAAAAAAAAAGAAGCACAGATGATCTTCATAACATTACTGGTTGGGGCTGGTGGAACGGCTTCAACTCTGTAGACACACTCTAATTAGCTCATGTTTCTTGACTGCCTGCTAAATGCCAGGCATATACCAGTGAGTGAGATAGGTAATTCACTGGGAGAGATGGGCAAACAAACAGAGACATAAAGAGGAAATTATAGCATGTGCTGAGTGCTGCTAGGGAAATAAGAAAGATGAAAAAGAAGAATTAGAGAGCCATTTTACATGAAGGTGGTTAGGCTGCTCTGAGCAGGTGGTTTCTGAGCAGAGATCTGAAAGATGGAAATGAGCCAGCTATCAGGAGAATTAGGCAAAGAACATTTTATAGGCAGAGAGACCAGCTAGTGGAAAAATGGCAGGCAGAAAAAGGCTTGGTGTTTTTGAGGAACATGAAGGAAGCTGTTGGACATAGTGAGCAAAGGGAATTACGATATCGGAATAAGCTGGAGAGGCAGGCAGCTGCCACAGCTAGGCTGTGTGGGAGAGTTGGACTTTGTTAAAACTAAAGGGTTTCGGTAGGGAGAGGGCATGATGTATTTTATGCTTTAAAAACATCTCTTAGTTAGTAGTTATGAGGTGAATAGACTTGAGTGGAAGTTGGGTCGTCATGTAGAAGGCCATTACAGTAAACTGGGCAAGGAAAGAAGGGTGGTAGCAGTGAGGATGGCATGGAGTGGATGGCTGTGGAGCTGGAACTGGCAGGAAGCTGATGGCTTAAATGTGAAGGTGAGGCAAAGGGAGGAATAAAGCAGGACTCCTAAGTTTTGAGTTGAGCCACTAGATGGATGATGTTACCATTAGCTGAAACAGGAAAGACAGAGGGCTGGAAGGTGGTGCTGGAGTGGTGGGGGAAGGGAGCAGATAGCATAAATGAGCAAAGAGGCCCTGGTTATGACTGTGGCAAACAAGCAGTCTGAGGCAGTTATGCGTGAGGATGCTGGAACCAGATTGCTAGGTTTGAATGTGGTGTGGAAGTGGGCACCTCTTGATTTCTGAGTGTTCTCCTTTGTAAAAGGGAGGACAGTAGAACCTACCTCATAGAATTGATTTGAGGGTTAAATTAGTTGATGGATATAAAGCTCTTAAAACAGTGTGTAACATGTAGTATACTTATATAAGTGTTATTTGAGATTTTTTTTATTGCTATAAGGGAAGCGTTTATGATTCAACTCAGGTGGTTGCTGCTATGGAGGGTTAGCTGGTTTTTCAAGAAAATGTGGAAATACATTTATGTGTGAAATTCCTTTGCTTTAAGTATTCTCAAACATCCTGTAAGCCAAATAAAACATGTTTGTGATTGCCAAGCTAGGCTAATTAGCCCAGTTGTGTGGTATTTTTCTATAGTAACATTTAGCCCCTTGGGTGTAGGCATGAAGAAGGCAGATAGGTGGGGCTAACCGAGAGTGAGGGCTGGCTAGTTGAATAGAAGAGGGCGAGTGGACCCAGGACTCATGGTTTGCAAGGGCAGGAGGTAATGACAGGCCCTGGCAACTAGGTGGCCAAGCAAGGGACTAAACATAGTGTGGGGACAGAATGTGGTCAGATCCATGGGTTAGAAGTCTTAGTGAAGACAAAGAATTGCTAAAGTGGGGTCTTCAGTGAGATGGAAAGATAGAAGATAGTAATCATAAAGTGTGATATTTGAGTTTTTATATTTGGAATTGGTATCATTAGCAATGATGCCAAGAGATGGCAGTGAACATGGGGGAGAGTGGTTAGGGTGGGTGAAGGAAGAGCTGGTTAGAGTGACTGACTAGGGCTGTATGGTCAACCATATGGATACAAAGTTCCATAAATGTTTATAGAAATGGGGGTACAGAGGAAGACAGTGACCAGTGAGTCAAAGCATTAGTGAATCAGGATAATCAAAGGGTTTGAAGATGATAGCACTGAGGAGGTATAGCAGGAGCTAATGATATGATCTTCAAAAGATCTGGATTTTAATCAAGAATGGAGGAAAAGGGGCACTTGAATGGCTTAGTTGGTTAGGCATCTGCCTTTGGCTCAGGTCATGATCTCAGGGTCCTGGGATTGAACCCTGCATCGGGCTCCCTACTCAGCAGAGAACCTGCTTCTCCCTCTCCCCTCTGCCTATTGCTCCCCCTTCTTATGCTCTCTGTCAAATAAATAAAATCTTAGGAAGAAAAAAGAATGGAGGAAAAAAATAATTTTGAAGCTACAGTGGGGAAACAGTGTGGGAAACGTTCTCTGGTCCTTCAGGCACATGGCATAGGAAAGATAAAATAGACTCTCTGAGAGCACTTCAAGGGAAGCGATCATATCAGGGGACAGCCAGGTTTCAGTTAAGTCAAGGAGCATTCACAGAGGAGATGAGCATGGAGAAGCCTCACTGATCGAGTTCCAAGCCTTGGAAAGGGTGAGGAGGAAGATGAGTGATGAGGGATTGGGGTAGATTAGGTGATGGTCATAAAAATGTGGAAATGGAAGTCCTGTACTTTTGCAGGTGAGTAAGACAAAACCTTGCTGGAAGTCTCTTTTAGTTAAAAGACCGTTTCTTGACATGCTTTACTGACAGCTTCTTTCATCAGGGTGTGGGGTGGACTCTGGTCTACTGTGGAATTCTGTTAGAGTTTCTTTTCTTCAGTGCGATCTGCCCTCTCAAGGGAATCCCTATTCCTGAGGTCCTCTCTACGTGCTCTATACCGAAAGGCCTTTTCACAGCAGAGGGCCTTCTTACCTCTCTGCTTCTTCAGGTAGTAACTGTTCAGTGGGCTGGAAGGGATTATAGAAGAGTAGCAATTCAGGGGGAGAAACAAAACAAACCTTAGGTCAGAAAGCAGTGTTTGGAATCAGAAAATGAATTTTTTAAAAATTTAATTCAAATGAATTGACTTGATTTACTTGGAGCATCTTCCCCTCACTAGATACTGTGCTCTAGTGGAGAGCACCCCATCGTGTCCTCATCGCTTAGTGTAGTGCCTGCCATGCTAGTCTTTAGGAAATTTTGTTGAGTCGATACAAATGTATGATAAATGTACTAAGCTTTTTGTTTCCCTTCCCCCAACAATAAACAGCTGTCCTGGAAGTGAAATTGCAGTGACATTCATGAAAAGGGTCCGGCCTCAGGGAGGTTTGCCATCCTTGTCCCCTCCCCACCCTTACCCTAAGCAGAATTCCAGTACGGTGGGAGAGTATTTGCCCTTTGAAGTTCTCTTGCTTACATGGGGTTCTTTACCCGTATTTCCCTTCTAATTTGTTTGCCAGTTTTTCTCCTCCATCAGGACCAGGTCAGACACTGTCTATGGAGACTTTCCTGGTGTCCCCAGCTGAAAGTCTGCTGTACCCTCACAGCATCCTTCGTATTTTCCCTCGTAAACAAGGACTGAGCTTGATCCTCACTCTCTCTCCACATTGTCTCAGGGTCTTGAATACAGTATTCAATAAATCTTAAATTAAATGTACTTGGGATGTTAACAATAGTATAAACTGTTGCATGGAAATTTGTAATTTAAACATGGTACACATTGAAGGGGGGAACTAGTTTCTTCTTTATACCCTCACTTAGTTTGTTAATTAATGTATCTTTGAATCTTTCAACATCTTAGGGGAAAAATGTTATTTAAAACACTTTCTCAAGACACCCTTTGAGTCTGGCTCTTAGGAAAATAACTGCCTGTCTCCATGTGTTCCAGTGGCCTTCAAATGCAGCTGGAACCTTGGGAGGGTGACAGCTTCCTGCAAGAGCCTAAAATACTGAACCGCTATTGAAGACGGCCCCCACCTGCACCCCTGTGCGTAAATAGAAGCAGACCCTGATTTGGTGCTGGAATAACATGAAGCTGAAGGCAGACTGGGTGGCCTGGCTGCCGGAGCCAGGACTCCCATTTACATTAAGAGCTGGTTCTGGACCATTTTGAATTATTGACTCATTCAGCTCTGCAGAAGAGCCAGAGTAAAAAATATGCATCTGGTCTCTCAAGGTTAAGTATCCAGGTTAGAAATCAACCTGTATCACTTTGAAAACTGTCACAGAAACAAGCAGCTATGGAAAGATCTCAGTGAATAAAAAAAGGCCGTTATGTAGTGGGATGTAATCCCCACATAATCTTGTTCTTAAAATGAAGGTTAAAATGTGAAGCCTAGCACATGGGGGCACATAAAATCCCCATGGTTGTCGCTTTCCTACTCCATGCCAAGCTCTGTTCTTTATCACCTCTGCGTGTTCATAGCAAGGTGCCAGTGTGGGTTCTGTTTCTGATGGAAACCTGTGTTACATCAATATAAATCATGTTTCATGCATTTAATGAGTAGTTCTCATACGCCTAAATTGTTTTCGAGATTGAGCTGTTTAATTAATTTAAAAACTTTTATTAGAGAATAACATATGTATGGAAAACCTGTAAGTATATATAACTAGTTAAATTTTCACAGATTTTATTTTTTTATTTCAAAGGGTGTTTTGAGAATTAATCCAAAGAAGTTTCATGAAGCCTTCATTCCTTCCCCGGTAAGTTCAGTAACTTTATAATAAACTTAATGTCACATTTAATTTTTCAGATGTGCTCTGAAACTGAAATATATATTCTAACTAAAAAGTAGAGTAGTAAAACAAAATCGAGGATGGGCAAGGATTTGTTTCAAATTTAAATAAGCAAAATTTGCCTTTGGTTAACAGCCCATTTTGCCAGTCTTAAACTCATGCTGCAAATGAAGGGGACGGCATTTGTTACTAGGGCTGCAGAGAGCAGCTGAGCCCACATGACACCCACCAGTTCTTGCAGTTGGACGTTCTGGGTTTATAGCTTCAAGGGATTTATGGTTTTTTCCACTAATTTAAGTTAATCTTTCCCAAACAAATAAGCTATCTACTTTCGATCTACTGCATGAGCTAATCTGCAAATTTGTCCAAAAAAAATGTGTAATGCTTTTTTCTTTTGGTCTGAGTTTCTCACTTCGCTTTTCTGCAGGTGATAGGACTTGGTATAAGGCTCTTCACCATTGGATCTTTATATCCTTTCTTTTGTTCATGACTCATTTTACCAGGCCTTCTCATTTAAGGGAAGTTCACTCCAACATGTAGTTAGCAGGAGGTCTTTGGATAAGGCTTGATTGTGCAAAGCTAGGGGAGCAATATTCTCGAATTCCTGAGGTGACTTTTCCAGGCTGCCATAAATAGGATAGCCATAAAATTAAGATGTTTTAACTGTGGAAGAGAGCACAGGAATAAACCTGAGCTTATTGATGAGGAAATGGAATACGTATATATATTTCAGTTAACATATTTCAAGATGTTAAATGGTAAGTTTAGTGAGAATACAAATTCAGTCATGTGCTTCCCAGGTGGTGGTGGTGTTAAAATAACCTTAAGGATCTATTCTCAAGCTTTTTTTAGTTCTTTTTTTCCCCTTGTCCTACAGAAGCCAAGGATTCACATTTGTATCTCAAGTTCCATCTTACCCATTGGATTAGAGAAAAAGTATCACTGACGTGTCACCTTTCTCTCTCTGAATCCTATTCTGTTCCTGTGATGGGAACATGCTATGTATTCTTACTCTGGTACTTTGTTCAACTGAGGGTCAGCTTTGAGGCAGTGACTTAGCTGCAGGAGCAGTTTTATCATTCTGGGGAAGCATAGTTCACATAGTGGTTGATTCCCGATGTTGCTTATAAGGTGAAAATCACATTCGATAATCATAAAAATTACCCATGAAAATTTCTTAGGAGTATGCCATGTTAGAGATAGATCATCTCTCAGTAAGTTCAGCATAACTAACATTTTTTCTACTTTAGAAAGAATAACCGTTTCTTCATTGGCATGCCAGTTGAGGGAGCTCGATTATAATAGGGGCCCTGTGTATGAAAAACATGGGTTGTTGAGTATGAGAATCATAGCCAGTGGAGTAAGGAATTCATCTTGAGACACACCTGGGAGCTGAGAGGATTACAAAGTCTCCCATCAGTGTACACTGAAGTTTCCTTTCATTGATTGGAATGTTAAGGGGAACTACATAGAGCATTTTGAAAATTTTACTGCTTGCTTGCTTTCTTCCCTTAGAACATGGTATTTAATTTCCCTAAGTTATATCCCTGTTAGGCTGGTTCCTGACAAGTGTGGGGCCTACGACAAGGGTACAAATGGAGGTACACATACTTTATTTTTATTTTTTATTTTTTTTGAGGCACACATACTTTATATTAAATATTTAGAAGTTATAAATTAAACTATTAGGTAAAATATATTCATGACAAATAAAATATATTTCTTGTCAGATGTACCTCTGTGTACCTGGGTTCACATTAGACTCCTTGGAGCTCTATCCTGAACTGTGGCCTGCATGGAGAGGGTCTGCCTCTGGCCTGCTCCTCTTCCCCTCCCAATCCTGGCTTTCTGTCCCCTCTTGGCTGTCTCCACTGTGCACCCCCCTCCTCCCATACATTGAGGGCCCTTGCATGCACCTACATGAGCATCTTATCCCACATGTCCAAATTCTGTCCACATGCCTTAGAAATGCTTGCCCTTTGGCCACCTGTCAAGTCCAATGGGTGCCACCATTGGCTGTGGTCTTCCCACAGGCTAGCAGACCTGGGAAAGATGCCGTGGAAGTGGGTTTGGGGCTCATGATCCCAGGGATGCACATCCTTTTGGCCCTGAGAGCTCTTTACCTATGGGGAGGAGTGTGACTGAAGAAGGGCCAGAGTAAAGGTCCTCTGGAATGTAGGGCCTAGTTAGGTTCCTGTAAGTTAAAGTGATATGATTTGAATGTGCAAATAATGTGTTGTCATAGTTTAATTTGCCTATAATAGTTAAAGGAAGTTAAGCAAAAGTTACTGATGTTTCAAAGATTTTATTTATTTATTCATGAGAGATACACAGAGAAAGACAAAGACACAGGCTGAGGGAGAAGTAGGCGCCCTGCAAACAGCCCGATGTGGGACTTGATCCTGGATTCCGGGATCATGCCCTGGGCCAAAGGCAGATGCTCAACCGCTGAGCCACCCAGGCATCCCGAGTTACTGATGTTTCAAAAGCCCAAATTGTTCTCCTACTTGAAATTATATTCCTGGCATGTCCTATTAAGAATCTTTTAGACACTTGTGATATTAGGATTGGCTTGTTTTTTTGCCCCTTATTCTCCTATTTGGCCACTGATGGAGTAGTAATATTGTCTCAGAAGGAGAAAAAAAATGCTAAATGATTCACCTCTAAGAAACTAAGAACTGACTATAAAAGCACTATCAAGGCCCAGTTGTAAGTTTTGGTTGTACATACTGGGACAATCCTGCATTCTGTTTTTGTGGGCGTTTTGGTAATTTTCAGTGTTTAGAGGCATTCCAGAAAGCTCTGAGGAAGGAGATAGTAGAGGCAATAAATTATACATAGATAAATCCCACAACCACCACTGGTCTGGATTTATGAGCATACATAGCTCATGTCCATGTCAGGTGTGAACTGGTATGAACTGCAAAAATGCTCACAGGTGGACTAGGAGTAGATTATCAGAACCAGGGTCTGAATGTTCCCTGTTGCCTGTCTTAGCAGGGAGAGTAAAGAGAGGAATTGTTCAAAGAAGATGTAGCCTTTGCTCTGACAATAGGAAATTAAAAAGTTTTTTGTAAAACTTTTGTAAAATTGGGGGTGGATTAGATTGTCTGATATTCCTTATAACTTTAAAATTCTAAATTCTTATTTAAAATTTTAAAGTTTCGGGCAGCCTGGGTGGCTCAGCGGTTTAGCGACTGCCTTTGGCCTGGGGCATGATCCTGGGGACCCGGATCCAGTCCTGCCTCCACCTCCCTGGGTGGAGCCTGCTTTTCCCTCTGCCTATGTCTCTGCCTCTCTCTCTCTTTCTCTGTGTGTGTCTCTAATGAATAAAAAAATAAAATCTTAAAAAAATAAATAAAATTCTAAAGTTTCTGGAGAGACAAGAGTAGACTACATTTGATTATTTAGGTTCTTACTCTAAAAACAGTTGTGAATTTACACAATGTCATTTGCTATGTTAAAATATCTACTGAAGAGGCTAACAACAGTGAATTCATCATCACTTTGTTATTTTAAAAAAGTATTTCGTTTTGGGGGATGCTGACTTAAGTTCATTATAATTGGAAGTGATAGAAAGTTGATTTTCATTCTCTTTTGACAAAGCCAAGTCACTTATTTTTTTTTTAATTTTTATTTATTTATGATAGTCACAGAGAGAGAGAGAGGCAGAGACACAGGCAGAGGGAGAAGCAGGCTCCATGCACCGGAAGCCCGATGTGGGATTCGATCCCGGGTCTCCAGGATCGCGCCCTGGGCCAAAGGCAGGCGCCAAACCGCTGCGCCACCCAGGGATCCCGCCAAGTCACTTATATGTGTACCTGCGAGTTTCCTAGGGTTCTCAGTAAAAGTAAGATACAGAGTTAGAATAAAACCATTTGACTTTGAAGCAAACCAAGAGCAATTAATATTATTGAGATACCTTTTTATGCTGTCTGGGGATAGGATAAAGAGAAATGGACCAGATATGGATACTTGACTTTTTACAAAAAGCATGGACTCCATTCTGAATTATGTTGGTACAAGAAGTTTTATAACTTTTTTTGTGCATTTTGTCATGGGAGGCACCCTTTGAACGTCTGTGGAGTTTATTTGGTCCAAAGGGAGCTATTCCATCGATAGAGAATGCTTTTAGGTTGTCCTCCCCACTCCAAAACCTCCCAAGTATTTAGTTAGATTACCCTCAGATCCCATTATATTTCTGCTAGGTTGGTTCATTATCTACTTTCTTTTTTTTCCTATTCTTTCTGGTGGATAGAGTTAATCATTGACATTCAAATAAAGAGCTGAACTCTTTGGCTTTTATTTTATTTTAATTAATTTATTTTTTACTCTTTGGCCTTTAAAAGTGGGTGTGTCTGAGTGGCTCAGTCAGCTAAGCATTTGCCTTCAACTCAGGTCATGATCTCAGGGTCCTGGGGATGGAGCCCTGCATTGGGCTCCCTGCGCACTGGGGAGCCTGCTTCTCCCTCTCCCTTGGCCTGCTGCTCTGCCTACTTGTGCGCATGTGTGCTCTCTCTCTCTGTGCGCCAAATAAATAAGAACATCTTAAAAAAAACGTCTTTAATACTGAGTTGTTCCCAAGTTTATGGTCTTTAAAATAAGAGATTCTGCAAAAGATTCATATGTCTATTGGCCATTTGTATGTCTTCAGAATGAATCCAGTAAGAGCTGAGCAGTGACGCAATACCTGGATATTTGTGTATTGCCTGAGGTTCAACTCAGCCCTGCTTTTCTTGGTTTCTTGGGATGGGAATGTGACAATACCAGTCACATTCATCTTAAATCTCTGAGCTGTCTGGGAGTGGTGTACTTGATTATGAGAGAGGCATTTCATTCTGTGTGTTTTGACCACATGATCATGCATTGGGATGTCCTCCAAATAGCTCTTTCTTCATTCTGGGGAAGTTGGAGAGACCCTGTTGCTACATAAATTGCAGAAGGCAGCGATTGATGATAATGTGCCA